CAGGATCATAGCTGTTGCATCTTATAGTTTCACTGATTTTTGCTGAGAGCTTGCTCTAGTCCCTGCTTTTAGGTGATTTCATTTTACCTGCATAACAAGCCCATGAGCCAGAAGGGCTGTCATTACGTTCCATTTTGCAAATGGCTTTTGACCAGGTTTCTGTGAGCAGAAGGAATGTCTCAGTGCTTCCCCTTTCCCAGCATGTCCATGGCAGTTCCTCATGGAGGGCATCTGTGACCCCACAGGTGGCCCCTTGGGATCCAAGAGCTGACACCTCTCAACCAGGGGATCATCACTGCTCTGTCCGCGCCTCTGCTGGTCTTTTGAGACATGGCCAAGGGTGCTTTCACAGGACAGGGACTCCAGCCATGCTACAGCCACAAATGCAAACTCTCACTGGGCCGTGCAGCTCCTGGGCACCTGGATTTGGCCCTGCAGAGCAGGGCTGCAGTTGTTTAGCCCACCTGTTCTTCTGTGCTCGCTTCTGACACCTCGCTTGCTCTTCCGGTTGCAGCTTGCTGAGAAAAACACTTGAGAGTCTTTCACTTTCCACACCCACGTACTTAAAATACCAGGCCCATAGGTCATTTTAATGAGGGAATTTGGTTAATGACACGTGCGCTCCGGGGCACAGCCCTGACTTTTGCAGGTGCTGGCTAAGCAGGGCTGTGTCTGAGCAGTGATGGGCTGGGGCAAGCGGAGGCCAGGGCATTCACCAGACACGCCTGATGGCTAACTGCTTGCCCCAGTCAAGGCTGGTGCCAGGTCTGGCTGGAAGAAGGAAGACCAGTGCAGAAACATGACAATCCCCGTAAGAAAAGAATACTGTCTCCGCTATAAGATAATACACAGAGGTCTTTGCGCTCGAGCTGTAGACAGAGCCCACTGTGAGGCAGGCCACAGACCCTGTCTCTTGGGGGAGAACTGTGGCAGTGTGGTGGAATTGCCCCACCTGGTAGCTCTGGCTGGGATTTTTAGAAACTCCTGTGACTACACCTGAAATGATGAGCATAAAATAATAAGAATTATGATGATGAGCAATGATTTTGCAAATATTCACTTGGGCGGCTGAGTTGCCCTGAGAAGTAGGCTGGTCTGTCTGTGGTTAACCAAGGGGATGGAAGTCACAAGCGTTCAATTGCCAAAGCCCAGAGTCAACCTAGGGAGAAACTGGTTTTGAACTCTAACCCAGGTTCACAGCTGTCGAAGACTGTACATGGGAGAATCACCAGGACAGTTTTCACTTTCAGGGGACAGTGGCCAAATGTGGGTGGAATATCAGGGCTTTTGGGTTCCTGGTGCTAGAGCCAGAGTTTGCAATTAAGAGATTTAAACACCAGTGATAATGGAAAGGTCAGTGAATGTAGAGACTCGAGTACTGACGCATGCGTGCACTGTTTCTTTGCCACTAAAGCAATGGAATCTATGTTGTTTATTTCATGAGCTTTTTGTGAGGGCCAAATGAAATAGTATATGGGAAAGTGTTTGAAAAGTTGTAAATTCTGCACAGACCTAGGGATACCAGCATTAGGAACACAAATATTTCACAGCTGTCATTTGGAAATTGTGGGTAGGATAATTGTGGGAGAAATACCATAGAGGCAGAATGTTCTAGAGGGTAAAACATACTGGCTATGTCTTGACAAGGATTCATAGGGCTTTTTATATGTGAACCAAATGGAACAATGTCCTCTGAAAATTCATGTCTACCAAGAATCTCAGAAGAGACCTTATTTGGAAATAGTAGCTTTATAGCTATAACTGAGGTAGGATCCTAGTGGATTTGCATCCATGACTGGTTCTCAAGAGGAGAGGGAGACTGGGAGACTGTGACACAAAGTAGGGAGTCAGCCTTGTGAAGGAGGATGCAGGGATTCGAGTGCCGAGCCAGCAAGCTATGGGATGCCAAAGACTGAGAGTGAGGCCAGAATCCAGAAAGCCAGGAAGGACGCTCCCACCCCCAGAGGGTGGCCTGCACCTAGATTTTGGACTTGTGGCCTCCAGAACTGTAAGAAAGTAAATTTCTCCTGCTTTAAGCAACTCTGCCCGTGATCATTTATAAATACGGCATGACTGTGAAATCTCCAAAGCTGCAGCTGGAGGAAGAAGCAGAAGCCTTCCAGAACCCATGGAAGATGCAAACACAGGGTTGCCAGAGATCTTGGAGCCATCTTAACAACCTCCTCTTGTAGACCCAGGGAGGTAAAACCATTTGTATGGGAATCCAGCCCTTCTTGCTGGAAGAATCTACTGTTTCTCTTCATCTGTTCCCACCCCACATACACACACACCCATTAACACATGCATCCAGCCATCCGTATATTCATGCATGTACTTGAATCTGTGCATGCATATATGTATACTCACATCCATGCATGCACATAGATATACTTGCATGTGTATATATATTCACACATACACATTCTGGGCTTCCTAAGGACTAGGCAGTGTCACCATCTGGTGCTGGTGTCCTTAGGTACTTTATGTTTTCCATTTCAATCCTCTTCCACCCAGAAGTCCCCTCCCATCACCCTCTTCTCCCACATCTATGAGGACACTTTAGGATGCAGAACGTGACTTCTTGCCCTCAGGGAAGTTAGGCCTAGATAGTTATAAACTCCAGCCAAACCAACATCCTTATAATCAGAAGTAAAACAATGATTCATCAGGGTGCCCATAAAGCCACAAAGCAGACTGTCCCCTCAAGAAAGGATACTGGAGGAACAAATGACCGAGGACCAGCTGCACTTTGACAAAGGGAAGACTCAAGCCAGGAGGCCTAGGTGGCTGGTGTAGTGACTGATGAATAAAAACTTGAAGTTATAATGTTCTGGCTCATGATGGGAAACTTGGAGGACCTGAGTCATGGCTAGGAGGAGGGAGAAGCAGTGTGGATTTGGCAGGGTCTTAACAGGGAGAAGATTCTAGAAGCCAGCTTTAGGATTCCATCTTGATGATTATACCTTGATCATCATACCTTGTAGGTTCTTGATGAGACAGATGGATGATCAGGAGACCTTAGTAATGCTGTTTTACCAGTCTTCGGCCACATGGATACGGCCACTCTAGGGCTATGGCTGCCATCTCCCCTCAATCTGTGGTTAGAAAGCCATACTGACCACAGCGATGGACAGCTAACCAGGTGTCTGCCCACATTAACATGCCCTCCCTGATGGACCAAGCTAAGCCACTTCTGCCCATCCTTCCACATCAGCTCCATGTCAGGGATGGAGCCCATCTGGAGTGTTGCCTGGTAACATCTAAAGGATTCCCAAGATGGCAGATCCATACAGTCCAGCTGTATTCTTCCAGGACCAGAAGACTTAAGATGTGAGGCCTTCTGGTACCCCCATACCCTGATCTCATGGTCTGTAACTTCCCAGAATACATTCTCTGTTCCATAATACAGGTCATCTGAGATTTTGATTAGAAAGCCATGCCAGGCAAAGCAGATTCCATCATCCAATAGTCATTTTCTATTCTTTCCAACATAGGCTGTAAGAAATGGAGTACAAACCCTTGGGGACGGTTTGGTGGGGATTTTAATGATTAGGGATTGTTCACTTACTGTGGTCAAATATTGTATTCTCACTGAACATTTCTCCATGGCCTTCCTTTGTATTAAAGCATGCCTGACAATTGAAAATATTCTGTTCTTTCTATTTAGGGGAAGGAAGAGAAACTGAGTTTTAAAATAGTGAATAATTTTGGGAGCAGATAAGAGTGGAGGGGCAATGATTTGTTTTCTTTTCACTTATTTTGGATTTTACTTCTTACAACCTGATTAAGAGAAGAAATTGTTGGGGCTGGGGATTTAGCTCAGCGGCATAAGCGCCTGCCTTGCAAGCAGGCAGTTGTGAGTTTGATCCCCGGTACCGATAAAAAGACAAAAAAAAAAAAAAAAAAAAAAAAAGAGAGAGAGAGAAGAAATTGCATAGCTTTAAAAACTATGGGTGTATAGGATTTAATGGCATATTTAGTCAAATATTATAATCCCATTATAGAACTTTGAGAAAAGTGATGTAATGAATGAACAGCCATACACAGTTTGAATACTAGATGGCATTTTAGAGGTTTTACTCGTATAGTTCAGTCTCTGCCAAAAGTCTGTAAGGTAGAGAAAGTTGCAATTATCCATCTTCCAGGCAAGGACACTGACGCATTGAGAGGTCTCGATCTAGAGACTTGCTGAAAGCCAGGTAGTCAGAATTCAAACCCGAATCTTTCCTTGGAGTCACTTGGTCAAGAAGAAAGGTATTGAAACTGTCAAACTGAGGCAATAAAGGAAAGTTCATCTTTCATAACTATGTGTAAAATATTTGCATGGAGACTTAAGTACAGATTTATATTAATAGTAATTATTAAATCTTAACCTATCATTTACATATCCTTAAGTCCATTCATGCATCAAAAATTTCATTCTGGCCAATTATGAGTGCCTCTGTAACAACTGATATTTATGAATAATATTTAACATCAATCAACAGTACTTTTAAAGTACAGAGATAATTTGTTAAATTTAGCATATCCTCCAACTTAGAAATTCTATATTTTCTGATCCTCAGAAGTAAGATGGATATGGTTTCATTTCTCTTTGCCTTGCTTTGTAAAATACCTGGAGAAGATGATATGGGAAGAGGGGGTAGAGATAAGGATGTAGGGAGTGGGTGGCTACCAGTCTGACTTTAGGATTCTCTGGAGTCTTGACTTGGAAGAAAATAAATTCAAGTCTCCCTTGATCCTATTGTTTGTCGATGATTGTGCTAACTCCATGTGACTAGGAGTCATGTCATACCTAGTGAAATAACCTAGGTGTGCATTCCAGAATGTTAGCAAAGCCACATTCAAGGCAGTAATGGCATAACAGTCACATGTGCTGAAGTCTCGTCACCTTTCCCATTTAAGAGCTGGAAAGCGTAAATTAACGATCACTTAATGACTCAATAGATGGATTCAAGCCTTCCCCTCATTCATTTTTGCTGTATTTTGTGTCCCAACAGGGAAGAGCTTCACTCTGACCATCACTGTCTTCACAAACCCTCCGCAAGTTGCCACCTACCACAGAGCCATCAAAATCACAGTGGATGGACCCCGAGAACCCCGGAGTAAGTGTCCCCTTGAAGCCTCTTCCCCAGGGGAATGTCAGGCCCCTGTGGGGAAAAAGAAGTTTATTGTCAACACTCTTATTCCTTGAAAGTTGTCTGTGGGCACTGGGCTCTTTTTGAACACCCTCTTCAAGGTCACAAGGAAATTAGTCGGACTTGAGTGCGTGTTGGAACTGTCTGGGGCTGTGTGAGACCGAGGAGCAGTCTCTGAGATACACAGTGAATTTCAACAGGATCAGAAGCAAACAGAGAATGGACACTGAACAGGCACATGGTTGACCAAAAATGGCCAGAGGCTCTGAGTAGCCACAGGGGATGGATTGCCATGCAGGCTAGCCTTTTATTAATTTGTTAAAGCTGGAGATGAAAACTACAAATACTTTCCTTTTCTTTCTCTGGTACAGATCAAAATCCTATTACGGAATTGTTTAAAATAGAGAATGGAGGGGTAGAAGAGTGCCTGGGGGAACCAGCAAATATAGAAAGATAGGACCAAAAACATAGCTCCTGTGGGGAAAGCTTTTAAAAACAGGAGTGGGGTTGTTTAGTCTGCAGAAGATATCTTCACAGTGACTTAATGACTATCTTTGCGTAAACACAAGAGTAACACTTTCATCCAGAGCCACACCCTGCCCAGGAGCAGAGGCCACGCTGCAGTTCCAGGGCTGTAGACCAGCTGTAGCCTGGGCCCAGCACCCAAATGCCAGGTCCATGCCAGGTTCTGAGTGGAAAAAGAATGCTTTCTCTTCCAAGAGTTTGGGAGATTGGAAAATGAGACTTCCTCCTGTCACTGGAAGCCTGTCATGCAGGTGGTCATGGGTGGAATAGTGTGAGAACATAAAGACTATAGGGCCAAACAAATAATTCAGGCTTTCAACAAATTTCAATGCTTCTCTGAATCTTAATTTCTTCTTCTGTAAAATGGGGATGATAATGGGAGTTTTCTTTATAAGATCAAATGAAACGATGCTATGAGTATAAAGAATGAGCTCAGGAAATGATGGCACTCTTCAGTTGAGGATCACTGCCTGTCTCTCTGCACGGTCTTCCCCATATGACCTTCTCAATATGGTGATTCTATGGGACTCTACAGTAGCCCTTTGGGGCCCTGCTTCCTCCAAAAGACCACCTCAACATGGTGGTTCCTTCGAGACTCTAAGGCAGCCCTCTGGTATATAACTCCCTACAGAGCCATCCAGTGATCATGGAAGCTAGTAGCAGCCTTTCCTGTAGTCCTTCCCAAAGCCTCCAGCATCCGGACCATCTGTTAGAACCACTGCCTCCGCTGCCACCACTTACCCACTGCTCCTGAGTGGATAGATCCCATAGATAGCTCCCATGCCCACCAGAACAGCATCCAGGACATGGCGTTCTACATCCGGTCCCCTTATCTGCTTGCTGTGCTTAGCACTGTGCTCCATAGCTGACTCCCCTCTCTCCCTGGAGGCCTCCAGCTTTTTCTCATTAAGCCCATCAATGCTTTCCAGCCAGGTCCAGACTCAGAGAAGCCAAGGCCTTGTTCATACCCACAGTCCTCTTCATATGTAGAAAGCAAACCAAAGACCCAAGATTACATCAGTGTCGAAGAGACCAGGAACTTTCATGGCACTGCCTAGGTGAACAGAGTAGGAATGGCTAACCAAAGGGTCACATCAGCCCTGCAATAAACATGGCACCAATACCAGTGGGCCATGGCTCTCCACAGAGCACCAGAGAAAAAGCAAGCACACTCAGAGAAAGGCTCATCTCAGGGACTGAACAGACACTCAATTCAAAAACAGTAGCAGCAGCCTTCTCTTGGACAATTCAGAGGCTAGACTGGTGGAGAAAGAATCTTAAACCAGGGGTCCCAATTCACTTTCTACTTCCATTAGTCTCTGAGGTGAAGAAAGAGAAATGTCGGCCTCTCTGCCAGCATTTCCTCTAAGTCCAAGAACTGACCAGGTGGTTGAGCCTCAAAAAACCAATGGTGGGCTGCCCTGACTTTTCAGAACTGACAGTTAGAAGGGAAAAATGTACCTTGGTGATTGTAATGGGCTGCCTGGATACACAGTGTACAAGGCCCCTGCTGTTTTATAACTTAAGGAACCAGTGGTTAGAAGGAAGGCCTTTGACAGAAGCCAGAGATTCGCCTCGGCATCTTTGCTGCCAGATGGATTTAGGGTACAGGAAAAAATTCAATGTGCAGAAATAAGAAGTGTGATATACGGGAAGTGTTTATAGCCCCAGGTAGATTGTCTCTCATTTCACATGAGACTTCTAGAAAAGCTGAATGCTGGCAGGTTCCTAGGGCAACTTGGGACATGCTTGCTTTTCTCTACCCAGGGAGCTGGGTGACCGTCACTGCTAGTTTTTGTTCACATATTTTCTTTCTTACCTGAACATCTTGATTCAAGGTGGGATTTGTTTTTAGTAGTGCTCTGCTCACACCATAGTGCTCTAGCACCATGGTAAGGGGACCCTAAATGCACGACAGGGCACCAGATGGTATTAGTCTCTGTGTTAGAAACCTCACTAATCTCTCCAGAGTGACAGGGCTATGAATTCTTGGTAATTTTGGCAAAATGGCATTGCCAAGGTGAGTCGTGTCACAGAATTCTCTTGTTTCATGAAATGAAAGACTCTGAAAGCTAGAGGGGACCTGAGAGAGCATCAGGATAAGCCCCCCTCAAAGATAAGAAAAAGCATCCCAGAGAAATGAGGAAACAGACAAAGGCCTAAAAAAATTTGCCATGGCAAAGTCAGAGGTAGAATGAAGAGCTTCCGACACCCCACTTAGGGTGTCCTCCTATCTACCTGTGCATTCATCTGTTTGTCTCTTCATTCACAACGCACGACTTTATACCTCATCTACTCTGAACCCTCTCACTTGTATCCTTGGTATTTTTATGAGAAATTGGCTTATCTGATTGCTCACCATGGTCTCGGCGCTAAGATCAGCAAGGGCAAGGGATGGCTTCTCACTGCTGTGTGGAGCCTTCGATGGGAAGCATTTGTGCTGAAGGTCAGAGAGAGCTTCACTCCACCAGCCTGTCGTTTGGTGCCTGAGTGAAGGACTAAGAATAAAAACACCCTCACCCCATCTGCTGGTTGTGCCTATAGGGAGAGTTGATGTTTTCACTTCTCTTTGATGGTCTTCAGTGGTGAGGTCACAGTAAAAGTGTATTCCAAAGAAAATCTTTTGATTCAAATGATTACTTGCTCTCTTACACTAAGTGACCTGCCATTGAGTAAGTCAGAATTTGGATTTTTTTTCCCCTGCATTCAGTAGGAATTTTTTAATAAACATCTAAGACCAGTACAGAAATTAGTAATTGTTGAACAGTTCAATTTATTATGAAGAAAGAGAGCTGTCCAAAGATACACTCTATCCCAGATTGGATCTTGCAAGCAGCAAAGAAATCTGTTTTCAGTTAGTAGGTAGAACACTTAACTAGCTTGTTAATGCACTGACAGACAGTTTAAGGATGAAACATATAGTGAGTGGAATTTTCCCAAAAAGCTATTGAATAGTTGTTGTATGTAGTTCTTGTATTTCTGGAGATCTAATGGAAACACTCCAGCTCTTAGCCCATGTGTGTATAATTTAGGTAACTGTGATAATAGTGAAAAACCAAATAATGGATAACTTGGCTCAGGAAGATGGAGGAAGATATTTTTCAGAGAGAAGGGTGAAGAGAGTGAACAGGGAGGGTGCTACCTGATGGTTTGGCTTGAGCAGCTGTTACCTGTCTGGTCAAGTACCCATTACATCTGGAACATTGAGAAATCTAATTGAAATTCAAAGAGGTCAATAAAACAAATATTGGCTATTTTCTGGGGCAACTCATGCCCTCAGGGAAAGGAGTCCTTCAGTAGTCACTGTGTTCTGCTTGAGCTCTTGAGATTTGCAGTAATGGATACCAAGGTGGAGTCCTTACTTACAACTGGGGAGAATTTTCTACTCTTGCTTACTGGTCTTTTTTTTTTTTTTTTTTTTTTTTTAGAGAGAGTTATAGTTACAATGGGTCACCAGAGAGACTAATACTTCATCGTGCAGTTCTTTTTTAAAGTCACACAAATATAGTTTTCTTTTATGACATTGAAAGAAAGTAAAAAAAATAATGTAGAGGGATATATCTATACCTATAAATATATAGATATCTATAGATAGACTCATATGAAATAGGATCTTTTATATGACAAATACATTTCAAATGAAGGAAAACCTGAAAAGTACCTGTAAACTTAGAATGATAGTGGGCTTAAAACTATGTAAAAATCAAAATTGTCAGAAATGTGTGGGATGACTGCACTTAACAGATTATTCTTGTGATTAAGTAGAGTTTCTTTTTGAAAAAGTTATTTTTTCTTCATAATAAAAATACCTAAAAATCATAGCTAGCATTAGAAAATGTCATTTGCCCAATACCAAAGTGCATCAGCCACATTAACTTACACAATCTTTGAAACAATGAATAAAACAGAAAGAAATTGAGTGGCTTGTCCATCCTCACCCAGTTAGTAAGTCAGAATTAAAACTAAATAGTCCTGGCATTGGAATCTACAGATTCCAGCCAATGTCTGGTTCTAAGAACTCTGCTGGTATTTGAGATTCATTGTACTGCTAAGTCCTGTATTTTTTACTAGGAGAGTTTATCATAAGTACAGGTCTGGTTCACATACGGTTTTACGTGTGAAAGCAGAGGCCCGTAGGTTTTGTACTGACTGGAAGGAATCAGTGTCTTCCTCCAGGCAAGGCTGGAGTGCAGTGTTCCTCAGAAAGTCCCTAGCAGTCATTGCTGTAAGGGTCACATGGGTCAGCTCTTGGTTCTGCCTGGGGCCCAGGCAGCAATGGGATGTGAATCAAGAACAGGGCACACAAGACAGGTGAGTAAGTTGCCAAAAGTGACCACCAGAGCAGCCATGTGAACTAGGTCCTCCTTTAGTGGAAGATTTCATGGAGAGCCCATACACGTAGCCCACATCTGGCCAGGAAGAAGAAAACCGTGTAGCAGTCT